GAGGGGTTGTTAGCCCGGTGTGGTGCTGAGGAGTTTCTCTTTCTTTTTAAAATAGCATAGAGAAGTTTCACTTTTTTTTTTTTTACGCAGCCGAGTTTTCTGTTTGTTTGGGTTTTGGATTGTTTTTTCATTTCAGGTAGGGTTTTCGGTGGAAGCCGTCGCCTGTCGGCATGAGTTTTCTGCTGCCCAAACTGACCTGTAAGAGGGAAGTGGATCAGGCAATAAAAAGCGTGGCTGAGAAGGTTCTGGTTCTCCGGTTTGGAAGAGATAACGATGCCGTCTGTCTGCAGCTCGATGACATTGTAAGCGGATTTTTTCTTTTTTCTCTTTTTTTTCTTTTTTTTTTTAGCGAACTTTACTAGTTCGTTCAAACTGTACTGTTGAATACAAGTGACTATCATATGTTGCTTTTGGCTAATATGATGTCTCATTAAAATTTTCATTAAAATTAAATCAATATGAAATAATACTATATTCATAAAACTACTTGAAAATTAAGAAAATGTTGATGTTATTATTGTGGGTGTACAAAGTGCTTGAAGTAGGTAAGGCTTGATATTCCAGCCCTGCTTAAGCTGGTAAGACATAAGAGAAATAGGCTTTGTAAAGCTTGCCACCCTTTTTCCTCTTGTATCTCAGTCCATTTGTCATCGAATTTTCTCACTCTTTTCAGCTTGCAAAGACAGCTCATGACCTAAGTAAAATGGCAGTGATTTACCTGGTGGATGTGAACAAGGTTCCAGTGTACACCCAGTATTTTGACATCAGTTATATTCCATCTACTGTATTTTTCTTCAATGGACAACACATGAAGGTTGATTATGGGTATGTGATCCTACCAGGAATTATCTATTATATCTTTCAGAATTATTAGTCTTTCTCTATACTACTGTGTCAGGGGAAGATGACGTTTGAAAACTGTAATATTGTTATACCAGCATCTGCATTGAGAACTCCATAGGAAGCCAGAAGGACGTATTTTTGAATCTGCTCTGAGTCATTAAGTAGGTGCCAGCTGTGAAACATGCCTGACGCTGTAAAAAATAGCATGGTTAAAGTCTTGGTTGTGACACTGCACCTTTTAGGACTTTGGAGGTGACGGTATACTCCTGATCTGGCTATACCATTACCAGTGCTGTTCATTCTTTCCGAGTGACCAGATCAGAGCCCCTAATGCCACTGTACGTCTTTCCTTGTTGTTAGGTGTTTTTGCTTTGAACACTTTAGCATTACAATTCTACCTTTATCTTATGCTTACATTTAGGTCTCCAGATCATACCAAATTTGTAGGAAGCTTCAAAACAAAGCAAGACTTTATAGATCTGATTGAAGTGATTTACCGTGGTGCAATGCGTGGAAAGCTGATTGTGAGAAGTCCCATTGATCCCAATAACATTCCTAAATATGACCTTCTCTACCAAGGAATTTAATGGCTTAACCTGAGATAAAGAATTATGGAATAGTTGATGTTCCAGAAACCATTTTTTCTTCAAGCCTGCTTAGCCACTTCTGATACCATGGGACAGTTTAAGCATTTATTTACGTTGAAGGATCATATTGGTCTCATTCTGAAGATGGACATTCTGTCACCTCATACTTCTGTGAATAAAGCTACATGTTCATGCTTAGAACTCACACAAGTGACTATTCTTTGAGTTGCATGCTGACTAGCACCTACAAACCAGGTTGTATGCGTCCTCAATGATGACATCTGCAGTACAACTTTAAGTGAACTAAGCCACCATATAGTCTATTAATTATCTAGTTAGTACATTTTCAATCAGATATGGTAGCAGTAAACCCATCTTTATTAAAAAGCTATGCTTGCTCTCAAGAGCATTCAACTGAGTGCCTTTCCAATGGAATTTTACACTTTTACCCATTACTGGATAATGGGACAGAAGCTTTTCAAACAAGATTAGAGGTGACTGAAATCTGTAATGGATATAAACACAAAAGAGAAGTTGACACACTCTTTTCTCTGATACCCAGTGTTACTGTTCAACATTTTGGGTTTTTGGGTGAGAACTGAAGGTGTAGGGCAAAGTTTTACCATCCATCAGAGCTCTTTTGCAGCCACTGAGTACTTTTAGTTCCCACAGGATTAAACTGGAAATTCAGAATAACCATTTTGTTTACATTCACTTTAAAGGTTATTTGACCTTCTGCTCGTATAAATTGCAAACCTTGAGTATGGACACTTAAAAAGTGTCTCTTATTTCCCACCTCTGTCTAAAATTAAACGGCTGAGGGAAAACAGCAATGTCCTCCTTTTGCATCAGCTTGGTAATAGCAGGTTGCTAGTGCTGTATTCCTATAGCAGCTCACGCCCAGTAATCTCACTGGTTTAGTTGGTTTTAAAATGGAAATTCCTTTAGCTTACTGTATCATAATCAGGACATACCATCTCTAACTGGAAGGAAGGTGGTAGTATGTAATTCTGTGAAGTTTTGTTCAACTTAACAGTACATGTTTCAAGGAGGAAGGTAGATGTTCAGGCTCTTGAAAGATTTTAAATACTCTATGGTATATAGTGAGAAGCAAATAGATCCTTTACAGGCTTTTGGTATTCCAGATCTGTCATTTTAATGAAAGCTGTGCACTTACGTGTTTTCCTGATAGTCTAGTCTGATTATACAGACATAACTGCAGAATGTTTATTTTTCCAAATGATACAGATGAGAGTTGCTATACCTTAACATCTTTATTTTGTGCAACTTAAATTTCACAGCTAACTGAAGGGTTGTGGCTTACAGCTTTCAACAATGAACTTCTTTCCTAATAGTTAACTTGGATTTGTGCATTTCTAAGCTTCAAACTTAGAACTGTAAGTTGCTCCACAGTGAGATGAGGGTCCCTTAGATGACTGAAAAGTGCACGGGCAGTTATGAAAGGAAGAGGCCACTATCAAGAACAAATCAGTATACCTTTATTTATTGCCTCACTTTTTACTTGTTCTGCTTCTGGTTGCAACAGGTGATTTCCTAGAGGCTGTTACGGTCTTGGCTTTCAGTGTGCTCTTCAGGTACTTGAAGATGGAATGTAAGCAGCAGGAGGGGGCTAAACCATTCTTTTCCGTCCCAGCAGAGACAGTAGGGCAATTTAGTTTCATGACAGAACCCACAGCTTTATCTAGAGGCTTACTGTTTGACACCCATTCACGGCAGTATTTCTGTATCCATTCTTGTATTTGTGGATCACTTCTAGTCTGGTGCTGCACGCTGTGTATGGAGTCAATGAATGCCACAGAGAACACTTTATTCATTACCTCCCCTTTTCGCTGCACTAGCAGGTCAACAAACACCAAGCCACCATAGCCATGGGCAATGAAGGCCACATTTTTGGCTGCACTTTTTGAAATGAAATGATCCCATACATACATGGTATGCTCCTCAGGGCTGCTGCTGCCCCTCTTGGGGACCCACCAGGTAGACTGTGTAGAAGTCAGTGCCTCTTGACTGGTAGAAAAGCTTAACCTCTCCTTTTCAGTCTTCAAATCAACAAAGTTGTCATTGGGATTCAGTACAGCGACCCCCCCATGGCTTTGAAGGGCCATTTTGATGAATGGTATTTGTGTTCCATGCCCCAGGCCCTCACTGGTAATTATCCTTTGCCCCCATTGTCCGGCACGGAACACTCCGCGGTCCTGAAGGAGGACAATGAGGCTAGAGGAACTTGTTAGTGCATTCTCACTCATGAAAAAGAAACTTCTCAGTTCATCCTCTGTAGTATCAGTAGGAATATAAACTTTCTGCAGCATGCAGACTCTTTCCAGGAGCTCATAAACATATTGGGTAATCAAATGTCCCAAAACTTGATAGCGTTTATGATTCTGCTCATGTGCATTCTTGTAATAATTGAAAACAAAGGACTCATTTGTATCCAGATGCCTCAGTTCCCCTTTTGTGTTGAAGTCATACTTCAGTTCCTCTTGATACTCTGAACCCTCTATTAGGTTCCTCAAGCTTAATTCGTGCTGTATTTGTAACCACTACAAATTAAGAAGACTACATTAATTTAGTGGATAGACCTCCATATGACACCTACATAAAAAACCCCTATTGTATAAGAATTCAGATTTAAAAGTGGTTACAAACAAAATACTCATTGATACAGGCTATCTCTTGGTAGGATGTAGTAAACCAGCTGCTTGTAAAGCCTCTCATGGATTTCAGTTACTAAATTCCAGCAGCGGTACATTAATAATAATCCCTTCAGTTACTTGTTCATCCTTGCAAGCACTTGCCACGTGGAAGTTGTGGAATGGATGACAGAATAAGCTATCCATGGCGATCCAGGAACAGGGGAAAATAAAGTCGTGCAGCAAACTTGCATGAGATTAGACTGAGGTCTCTAGTTTCAGCTGAGATAATTTTTCAGCTTGCATGACTGATGAACTGATAAGAATTATACCAAGAAGTGGTTTCTGTGCAGCTCAAAAATTAAGCTTATAGCTTTCTGTTTTTTGAGTAACTCTTCATTGTACTACTGTCACTGGCTGTAGAATGGTAAACAAAGGGTAAACTTTGGTGTCGCTAGAATCCTACTTCTCTAGGATTTTTTTCCTAACAGCAAATATTTGCAAGCATCAAATTCCCATAATTATAAATATTTTTAAAATTAACTTACCATCTTAGCACAACTTTGGGTTTTTTTTTGGGTTTTTTTGGCAATGGTTTATGTGACATTGTATTTGGCAAAGACATTGGTACAAGCTACTATATACCTTTTAATTTTTCTTACTGAACTGGCAGAGGTTTTTAGAACACAGTAAATGACTGTAAACTCACTATACCATCTGGTTACTAGGACAGAAAGTGATCTGAAAATTTTCATGTAAACAACTTGAGTTGGAAACCAACTCCTACATGGGATGCTGGTTTCTTTGGGTAAGCTGCTTAGCATCTTGAAAATTATTTCTTACACTTCAAAAATAAAAAAACGTTTTCAACAGAGCAATATCACACACATTTTCCTTTTGAGCAATCTCCATTGGGGCAGAGATACTGTCGTCTCTTCAGGGTCATTCCTGTCTTTTGATTAATAGAGAGTAGGCTAGAAAATGGTACTTTCTCCTTTTTTATCTCATAAAATAAGTACATATAGAAAAGGGAAAAAATCAGATTGTGTGATAGCTAAACCATTTACTGTCTTGTCAGTTTCTTGGAATGGAAACAGCACAAGGAAGTTACAAGTGCATGTGTTCATCTGTGATTTTTCATTCTGCGAGAAGGCATGAAAGACACAAAGGAGATGGGAGAGAGAGAGAGAGTCTGTTTGCTATACCACTGAAATACAGGCAATTCACACAAAAGAGATCATATTTAGTAGGGAGAAGCTACCCATATTCGTGTTGTTTTCCCCATGCAATGAAGTGGGAGAAAAATGGACATGGTTTAACAAAAGATGTCTGTGGATAAAGGTGAAGCACAGAGGAAGCATTCCATAACAAGTAGGAATAGATAAATGCAGTTTCCCCATGGAATGGTGTGCTGTCCAGCAATTTTTTGGGCCCTTTTCCATCCTCACCCCTAAAAGGTTGGAGGCTGTAGTTTCCCAATGTATTATGAACAGGAAGTTACTAGGCTCTTACTTCAGCTACTAACAACAACAACGTTGCTTTTTCACTTCCAAAACAAAACAAGGATACGTAATTACAAATTAAACCCTGTGTATATAATATTGAACATCTACTTAAAGAACTACTTTTCAAAGCATTGTGAAACGTTTCTGAGGATTTCAGGAGGTAGAAACAAACAAACAAGGCAGTCTTACATCAGGCATAGGTATGACTTCCCTTCCTAAAATTGCCTTCAGGGTGTGAACTTAAAAGTTTTGCAGCAATTTATAGTAGCTTATCACTTAAGAATTCACTTGAATAGCACCTTAGACTTAGAACCTAAACATACTTTTTAGTCTGGAGGACTGATTTTGTTGAAATAATGCCATTTACGGAATTGAAAAGCAGCAGTTACAGATTGCTCTAGAAATAGCTGCATAATGCATTTACTTTTTGGGGGTTTTTATAAATCTACATTCTAAGTCAGTGTTGACTGCTCCTTGTCCTTCACTGTCTACATATAAACACAATATTCAAGGGGGTTTATTCTGGTGGTCTTTACAATTGCTATTTTGATTTTTAATAAATTCCTGGGAGTGGGGGGAAAAACCCTTTTCCCTTCCTCCCACTTTTCTGTTTGGTGTGTAAAATGCTTCAGCTGTAAATTCAGCTAGCATTTGTTACAGCAGTTGGCATATTCTAAACACTGCTGCAGTACAAGTAACATTCTTTATAAGATTTTCCATTTAAAACCACTTCATTCTAGCGAAGCCCAACATTACCGTATGCTCTCCTGTAAAATCGGTCATCATCATAGATGGAAATCTTTTTCACCCTGGGGTTGTAGACAGTTCTGCATGAAAGAAAATAAACCCATTTTAGTTCAGGTCCTGTTACGGCATATACTTTATTATGGGTATATTTATAAAATGTATCAGTTGCTGATAGTTAAGGCCTATCAGACAGTTCCAAGTTACAAGGTAACTTCTCATTCTTTACACCTAACCATAAGTTAGGGCTAAACCTTGAGTGTAAAACTGAAAAGTTGTCAAAAAGTGTCTCACACAG